CGCCTCTGCCCCAGCCGATGCACGCTGCAAACACATCGTGTGCTGCCCAGCTGTGGGGTTTGGTATGTTGCACGCACAGCCAGGCGAGGACAGTAAGAAACACACTTTTTTAGCTAGGTAATGCAGCCTGTTGTACTGGTTCACTCTGATCTCAAGTTAATAACATCAAAAACTCTGTGCCATACAGCGTGTTACAAGTTCCCTTACTTTTTGGACTATCTGGACTTCTTGTTGCAGCTCTTCCTTTCCCCTTTGGAGTCTTTAGTCCTTCAGGAAGATACTGGTGGCCACTTTCTCCTAGCTCCAGCCTTCGTTTTGCCTGTTAAAAATAACAGTTTGGTTTTTTTTAATTGATGGATTGTTAAGAAGGTTATTTCACTTTATCAAACACAGCATTTGGGTTACAGGGACGGCAGACAGCGGTGAACTTTGCACAGCAAGGTACTGTATCGTTACAAGTTCATACCCCATATTCATCACAATGGAATCTGAATAATTACAGGACATCAATGTTTCACTCTCAAAGGCTAGGTTGATGGTTTTGTTTGGAAAATTCAGCAAGTTTTTCAATCTGAAAAGCTGAATGACAGTTGTATGACCTACTTCAGTCTAGTCTGGACCTTTTTAAATACATATGAAAGATTTCTTACCCCCCTCCCCCCCCCTTGAGTTGAGAACATTTCAGTTAAGAGAACCAAAGACAAGCACTTAAGCACACAGGTATGCACCCACAAAGCTACATTTCTTTTGAAAAACTCCTTACATCCATATAAGTTTCTGCACAGGTAGTATGAGCGCAAGCTACATTTTTCCTTCACTATTCGAAAGGATGGCTTTGAGAGGACCAGTAACTTCCACTACTATAAGCTTTCCATCAATGAAATACAAGAAATGACATCGAGAGCAGCATTGGACAACTGTTCTCTGCTTCTCAATGATTCTTGTCCTCGTTGAAAGCACAACCACTACGTTTATTTCACATTAACTAGCACGTTTGCATTAAAGCTGCCTACATAAAAGCAAGGTGGAGCAGAAGTAGTATCAGAAAGATGATGCCTGAAAAAAAATCAGCTAAATGTTGCATTCAGCTCAAAAAAAGCTGTGTACATCTTGAATAATAAAAATAATGAATGAAACTGTTAAAGTATGCAACACAGACAAACTGCAATGAAAACCACCACCAATGTGAATTTTGTTCCTAGACAGAAACACAATCTACTACCTTTGGAAACAATTCTATACCCTGCCGCACTACTCAGGTTACTGAAATTTAATCTGGGGATAATTGTTATCCTAACAATAGAAAGAACATTACCTGGGAAGATGCAGGGAAAAGAAGAAAAAGAAGTTTTATGTCTAATGAAGTTTAGCCAAATAACTGTTTCCTAAGAATGTTGTTTATTCAAATTAGGTTGAATAATTCAGAGTATTTTATTTGCTTACTCTTTAGACTTGCCCCAAAGGGTTGCATCGTATTCTGCTCCTCAGTGAACCACAATAAAATAATGCATTTTGCTATGGAGTTGTAGACAGATATTTCGGTATTGTGGATTTAGCTTATGCGTTTTACTTTGGGTCTGTGACCTACAGGAGGCTCTAAATAAATTAATTTTTATGCGTTTATTTATGGATAGCTAGCTGACATCTTTGTGCTGGACTCCACTTGCAAACCTCAAACTTATTAAAAGGCAAGTTAACACAGTGTAACAGCATGTGCAGAGTGCTTAAGCCACTCTTCTCTATATTTCGTGCAAAGGGGCGAGGCACTAATTCATTGGTGACGGAGCAAAACTGAACTAACTGCATCCTTCTAACCAACAACAGCACCGCGCTCCCATGGCAGCTTCTAACGGTGCGAAACACATCTGGTCCTCTCCCTGCGACATCAGCTCTGTCATCCAAGGACACAGATTTCGAACAGGTCAGCTATGAACAAAAGCATCCAGCTAATATGTTTAGCCAACGTAACTGGATTAAATTAAGATTACAGCTATTCCAGAGGGAGAAATACATTTCACACTTTTTTTTAAGTTAAGTGTTTTTCCACCCTGAGAACCATAAGAAAAAGGGAAGGAGGGGTGAAAAGGGAACAGTTCAGGGCGTGGGAAGACTAGGCCAAAGGGATACAATTAAAGATAAAAGAGAATCTCAAAACCAGGTGTGAGAAGGAGGGGAAATGCTAAAAACTTAAAATCCAGAGACTTGCAGCAACTCACTCCATCAGAAGAGAAACATAGGTTTGGACTAAACATCAAAACTTTTTGTCTCAACTTGTTTGCAAGACACGAACAATGGTATTTTGGCCCCTGCTTTTGTGGTTAAACACTTACAACTGTCTTCTGTGAACTTCAAATAATCAGGTTTGGTAGTGAGAGAACGTAAACGGCATCCTTTTGCAGCATGCGGCCAGCACAAGCCCATCCACGTGTGTCGGGGCAGTTAGAAAATACAAGCTCTCGCCAGTCACACCAGCCTACCGTATCTACAGGCAGTGAAGGGATATTGACTGGCTTCTGGAAAAATACCAAACAGCAGAGACAGCGCTACAAAACAGTTATTTTGTAGGCCCGGAAGCATACGGAAAACCTGAGAGACAGAGATACAGAGTAAAATTATTTTAGGAGAGTTTAAAAGAGCTTGGTGAAGTTACCAAGAGGCAATTTTGGCAAACCCTGAGGAATGTTCAATTTCTGGCCAGATGTTACACGTCACTCAGCAAACACACACGTCTTCCTCTTCCTGTATTACGAACTTCGTAACTGATAAGATGCAGGACTGAAGGGGCATATTATCTCAGTTTCTTCTTCTCTGACTTACAGACAGAAGCATTTCTAGTGCCTTTTTCTTTGTACTAGAGATCCTGGGTGACTCACAGTTTCTCTCCCATCTCCAAAATTATTCATAGTGCTTTCTGATATCAGACTTTCCTTGAGAAAACTCAAGATCTGCCTTCAGCAATCAGCAGATGTGGTAACCCTTTTAAAAAAAACAAAATCCTGATTTGCATAGTTTATTTCTGCTACAGCACTATATGCGTTATTTGCAGTATTTGCACAATTTTTTGTACAAATCTTGTATTTTCTTTATTTGCATTTGTTGATCAATCATAGCATGCAGAATCTTCTGACACAGTATGTGGGACCTGCTAAGAAGTACCAAGCCAAAGGACACCAG